CAAATTTTTTTAAATTTGTACTAAAACTCCGTTTTAGAAAGCAATAAAAAAGCCGTCCCAAACGAAACCTTAAAGCATACATTTTAACGTTATATATATAATTGAAGGTTTCATGGCAGTGGAATCACTGTAACTCTGTCATGGCTTAAAGTGAGTAGTCAGCTGCAGTATTTGGAAGTGAGCGTTCAAATTTTTGTGTGGCATTATTGCTTCTTCTGTTTTTTTCTGTGTTTAAATAATTTGAAAGCTGTTTGGTAATGCTCTTAATATATATATAAATATAAACAATTTTAAAAGCTCTAAATAAACAACTTTACGTAATGTATGCTTAAGATTTCTGAAAGCTGTTTGTTCTGTTTTTAAAAAACTTTATATATATAATTAAAAAAATAAACAATTTTACAAAATAATTTTAAAAAACTTAATATACATATAAAAGTCATGTATTAAAATTTTAACTCATTTTGATATAATTTTTTTTTTCAAATGAATATAGAGAGCTAGCTAATTATCAAGAATGTATAGAATAAATATTTAGAGTGCACAAATCAAAATTTCTCATCCCTTTCTTAAAAAAAGTAATTACAATGTTCATATTACAATGGCTTGTACACCCTCCATTTCAACCCCTGTGAATGCCGGTTTAGTTCATAGTTCGTTTGTGGATGTGCTAGATAATCTAATTGACCCTCCAGCATTGGTTTATCATGTGGGGGACAATTTTGGGTTGGATCTTCGAGTGCATCTTGATTGGCTTTATGGGTCTGATTCTGATTCAGGTTCCTCTTTTGAGACTGTTGGGGATGAGGTTCCAGGGAATTCTTTTGCTCTGCTGCGGGACACTCCGGTCGTTTCTGTTGCTTCTCGTCGAAGGGCTCCTGGAAGGGGCCGACGTGGAAGATGATTATTTATGGTTGATAGTTCCTGCTACTTTATGTTGGTTCTTTTGGTTTTCTCCGATTTTTATTGTTTATTGGTCGGGCTATGATGTAGCAGGGGCTCGTTTCTCAATTGGCATGTTTCATGGCAACCTTTGGTGGAGATCCTTTGCTCGGTTGGGTTGGCTGCTTCGCATTATTTCTTCACCAAGTTGGACGGTTTGAGCTTGGCTTTTGGGAAGCTAGTAGTCTCAGCCGAATACTGAGCCCTCGGGATTGGATTTCCCATGCATTTTCTTTTGCTTCCTAGGGTTTTTTTATTTCTTTGCTCATGTACTCTTTTCTGGTATTAATATATGGTGTTTAAAAAAAAAATTATAATGTTTAAAAAAAACTGAATTAAATCTAAACTACAAAATTCTAAATACATTCAAAAGCTTGGCCTCCATGTTTTTTATTTAACTAGGTCTACTCAACAAAACCTTTACATTTGTCTAAAATAGAATAAACAACGGAATGAGTATAAACTCAATAGGACAACACCAATTTTTTTAGAACAAAACTTAACTCATAGCAAAATAAAACTGAAATAAAATCATAAAAGTTTCGTTTGACTTTTAAATTTTTGATGTATTGATGCACATATGATTGTGAAATGCACTTATACTTATGCCCCTTATAACCTTCAATTTTCCACCTCACACCTATTCAAGATAGGTGCAGAGCAAAATAAAATAGAATAGAACTTCCAATACAAAACCAATTCAAAGGCTGTATAGAATAATTCAAAACATAACATTTCCACTTTGAGCCAAAGCTGATGATTTCAGAATGCCTTTCTTTTAAATTCAGAATCTCCAAAATATCATGAAATGAATCATAATGCAAATGCAATGTGCTATTAAAGCCTTTTAAAGCAAATAACATCAGATACCAACTTGTATAAAAAACCCTCACATTTTAATTGTCAATTCAAAGATCTCATAAATTTATCAAATTCAATAAGATTATGTAAAATGCTAAATTAACATACTTCTTCAATTGTGTTGCATACAGACATGCTTCTATTTTTCAGAATAAATAAAAATTCATATAAAACAAATGATCGATAAATTTTGCATTCTTATAGTCAAATTATTCATAAGAGATAGTTAAACAATATAAAAAATCACGTGGTGAAATCTTCTTAAAACCTAAGAAAAATACTTTTAATGTCATGCTTAGAATCTAATTTGGAAGAATTCTTTCTTTCTTTTTTTCTTTTAATAAAAACATCAAAACCATCTAATATCATATATCCATCATAAACAACAAAAATAATTTATATAATTCAAAACATCAATATATTCTTTACTTCAAAAATCATATATAATACTCAAGAATCTTTAATCATATTGTGTTTATCGAAATCATGAGTACAAAATAATAACTAACAAAAAAAATTGAACATGAAGGATCCGGAACTTCTGCTCCCTTGCCCTGACCTAAAATCATTTAACTACATATAATGAGCTAACTAGTCCAACATGTCACATTAAAACCTATAACAAAATTCAAAGCACGACAAATGAGCAATATGCATATCAAGAATAAAATCATAACAATGACATTCATATGATCATTGAATCAATGCAGAAATAGTAAAAATCATATTCAACAACAAAATTTAGTGCGATACAAAAGCCATAAAAATATAGGTGTCAAATCTATAAAGCAAATTATCATATCAGTACTATCAATCAGTAGAGAAATAGAATAAAGTAATAACAAAATCTTTAATAGAGACTCTTAAAATCATATCAATGCAGTGAAACCACATAAGGGTGTACACACTGAAGTCTCCAACTCACCTACTCCTAGTCGTTCTCTGCAGCAGCATACTACTGATCAATCAACTCATTCTATTCCCAATCATCATCCTATGATAACCAGAACAATAATCGGATCACTAAAACCCATTCATCGTTTAAACCTCTCTCACCAAATCCTGTCATCTGAATGTCAGTGGCCTCCCTCCTGCTACACAGACGCAATCAAGCATCCTGAATGGCACAATGCCATGGCATCGGAATTCTTCGCCTTGCAACGATAAGGCACTTGGACCCTTGTACCACGTCCTACCAACATCTCAATCTTAGTTTGTAAATGGACCTATCACTTAAAACACCATGCGGACGGCTCTATAGCCAAGCACAAAGCTCGTCTCGTAGCTCTAGGCAACAACCAAGAATTTGGCCTCGACTACACGGAGACATTCAGCCCAGTTGCTAAACTTCCCACGATACGCATTCTTCTTACAGTTTCCATTCATAACAATTGGCCCGTGCAGCAACTCGATGTGGCCAACGCATTCTTGCACGGACTTCTCACGGAAAAGGTATTCATGTCTCAACCCAAAGGCTTTGAGAACGCATCTCAACCAGAATACGTCTGTCAACTTCACAAAGCTATCTATGGGCTCAAAAAAGCCCCGCACCAGTGGTACAACACCTTCACCGTGCATCTTTTCTCTCTCGGGTTCATACACAACAAGGCAGATCCTTCTCTTTTCCTTTATAGTTCAAACAAAATCAAAATTTTTCTTGCTATATATGTTGATGATATACTTATTATTGAAAATGATAACCAAGCTATTTCTTTTATGATTCAAAAGCTTAGTGCAAAATTTGACATGAAGCAGCTCGGCGAAATACATGAATTCCTCGGCATCCAGATCAAACGTATGGATCATAGTTATTTTCTGTATCAAAAACCTTATGTGATTTCCATACTCCAGCAAGCACATATGCTCAATTGCAACCCCCTCTCCAACCCAAATTGCACTAAGCTTCCCGACGATCTCAAAGAGGATCCCGTTCTTTCAGACCCCACAATTTATAGACGCATTACTGGCTCGTTGCAGTATCTAACACTAACAAGATCAGATATTGCATTTAGCATAAATCAGCTTTCACAACATATGCATAATCCGCTGCCCCAACACGTCTATCTTTTAAAGCGTCTCCTACGATATATAAAAGGAACGTTGGACTTCGGTATTCCTATTATCAAATCTAATCTCATTCTCAACTCGTTTTCAGATGCGACTGGGCTGGAGATCCCATCACTCAAAATCTACTTCTGGATACTGTTCTTTTCTCGGCAAAACACTAATCAATTGGACCGTTAAAAGACAACATATTGTCGCAAGATCCTCCATCGAATCTGAATACAGATCACTAGCAGCCCTTACCTTCAATATAATTTGCTTGCGACGACTACTAGCTGAATTCGGTATCTCTCCTGATCAACCCACTGATTTGCATTGCGACAACACGTCCACCATTTCTTTAGCCAACAACCCGGTGTTTCATGCTAGCACCAAGCATATTGAGATTAATCAAAAGTTCATATGAGATCATATTCAACACAACAACATTCGTCTTTTACCCATAAGCACTATTGATCAGGTAGCCGATATACTCACCAAGCCACTGTCCACAAGAAGATTTCATCAAGTACGGCTCAAATTGACGATCAGTCAAGACCCATCACTTTGCAGGGGTATTAGAGCACAATTCTAAATAACATTTATTTGTTAATACAGATGGCCTTTTCCTATTGGATATAGCCTGTCTTTAGTCTTGCCTTTTTCTTATTTATAGAGACCTACACTGTACTCGTGATATATGAAAAATATTACTTCTTATTCTTCCTTCTTGCTGTTCACAGCTTTCCTTTTCTTCCTGCTTGCGTTTCTCTGTTTCTTCAGTGCTGGCCGTTTGACTGATCAAGAAACGGCCAACAACCAATAATGATCTAACAACCCTTAGCAATTGCTAAAACTATTACTGATGACTGATCAAGAAAAAATTACTCCAAAGAAGGTTTCCCTCTTTAAATCCTTTGTTAGGCACTTAGGCATATGACAAATATAAGAAGGAACGCCAACCGCAAATAAATACATGAAAATTGGGATTTGTAAACCCGCAAGGTAGGAAACGCAACTAACAAGATCTACAATGGGGCTTATTAACCCTGCAAAAAGCGAGCAATTATTACGTCCGGTCACCGAATGCATTTATAGACTAATAATCACGCGCCACGTCACCTAAAACTCGGTATTGAGAACTCAGTATTGCTCGGTATACATTCAGATACGTTCGGTTTTGACCGGACGTAATAATTGCTCGCAAAAAGCAGGCTAGTTTTGCATTTGAATCTTGATTTAAAACAAGACCAAAATTATGATATAATGCTAAAGATATCATTCTATTTTCAGGTCACACTGATGGAAATATGCTGAATGACAGAAGCATCATCAACTTCCATGTGGTTGTTATTATTGTGTTGTAATACTCTAAACCAAGAAGCAGGTCCATGCAAGAATTCGTCTTTGATAGAATTATTTGAGGAATAGATTCTATTGACTATAGCTGTATAACACATGCATTTAAATGCCATCTGAATACCTTTCGTTTGCCCAACGGGCGAGATTATTATGTGCGGACGCCCGAAGATATTCGAAGGCAAATGAGGAGGCACCACGTCATGCAATACACTGTGCATTGGGTGATGTGGCGCCTCCTCATTCGCCTCTGGACGTGTTCGGAGTCTGCACGTAATAATTTTTCACCCAACGAACACCACAAAGAATACTCCACATGAAAATAAAAATATAAATAGGAAAGGTTGACTTCCAAGTGAATATATGTATAGAGAGAGAGAGAGTGTGTGTGATTGATAAAAATAGTTACTGAATTATTTATATGGTTCATTTTAATTACAGTTATATCTTGAGTTCAATTTAGGATTTGTTTTAAATGGCAGTGACTTTTTAGAGAGGTGGTTATAAAGTTATTGTGAAGAAGAAAACTTTTTTAAAGCTACTGTAGAAAGTAAATTTTTAGTATAAATTTATTGAAAGTAGTGAAAAAATAGTAGCTCAATAAAAACCATAACTACCAAAATCCTTCTTTTGCACCAATTTTGATAGCTTCAATTTGCACCGGTTTTAACCGTTGGTAAAGCGCCGCCATTGAATTGCATCCCTAATTTCCAATCTCATTCGTGATTTGAAGCTCGGCTTTCTTCACCTCTTCTTTCGTCCGATTATAACCACTACAATTCTGTGATGTTGTGGTAGCTAAAACTATTGCTATAATTAACACTTTGTGATGTCTTCCCCAATGGTTATTCATTGATCATAACATAAAAAAAATTAATTATTATAAATATAATCCTCAGCTTCATTCTTATTGTCACACAGTCTTGTTTTTGTTGGGTGAATAAATAATTTTCTTTATAAATAAGATGGATGTTTATTTATACAATACTTAGACTTAGTTTATGTTATCTTCTTTATTGCTGTTTAAAGCACTTTTTTAGTAGAAAAATCTATAGCTCAAATAATTTTTGTACTAAAAAACTGTTTAAAAAGTAGTAAGAAAGCTATTAGGCTTCGTTTGAGCCAGCTTTCTTACTACTTAAAGCAGCTTTTTAGTACAACAAATAAAATTTTTATACTAAAAAACTGCTTTAAGAAGCAGTAAGAAAGCTGCCCCAAACGAAACCTTAGTGTGAAGGTAATTGACATATGTGAACTGATATATAATAAATTTTCAATATAACTTTGAGACAATTTAGTATTTTATTTTTATGAAGTTACTAAAGTTTCTAACACCAAAGCCCCCCTCATTCTTAGGAAAGCAACTATTAACCCAATGAAACTCACATTAGCATCCTAAATAAACTTCTAAGAGATTTTACTCAACTAATCTATAACATTATTGGGAGGGTTCAACACTTGTAAGGGATAAGAATAAATGGTAATAAGGATATGCTTAATGAAATGAATCTACTACTAGGAGAAAGGAATGATTTAGAAATTTAAATTAAATTCAAATCTTGGTTTACAACATGCTAAGGTTATGTTTGGGACGACTTTTTACTACTTTCTAAAGCAGACTTTTAGTACAAAATTACAATTTTTATACTTAAAAGATGTTTTAAGAAGTAGTAAAAAACCATCCTAAACAAAACCTAAGTTGTCGTTGAGACAACTTTTCTACTACTTAAAGCAGCTTTTTAGTAAACAAAAATTATTTTTTTGTTAAAAAGCTGCTTTAAGAAGCAATAAAAAAGACATCGCAAATGGATTCTAGGAATAAGCTTATGTGAGGGTCGTTGGCTTCTATGAGGCCATCTTCGCTTGTTAGAGTTAATAAAAAAACACATTAAGTGCATGACCGTATTTAAAAATTGATTAGCATATATCAATGCCTTGAACCAAAAATCTTATGGTTGGCCTGAAAATGCCCAATTATTAGGTCAAGGTGGGCCGCAAGGTTAGAAGATACTAGAGATGATACATCTAAAACAATTATTATTTAATAAATTAGGAAATATTAAGGTTAATTTCAGAACAATTATTACGTCCTCTGATAAGACGTAGAGCTATGTTCGGCCACCAATAACATGTTGTCATGTGCTCTTATTATTTACCGCGCGACCCGACGACTTGATCCAGACCGTAAACCGGGAAAGTTATGTTCGCGTATTGCGAGGTATTACTCGGTATTGCTAGGTATTGTTCGAAAATAACGAGAAATACCGCTCTGTGAAGACCAATACCGAGCAATACCGAGTTGTACCGAGTTTTTCTACTCGGTACAACTCGGTATTCCTCGGTATTGCTCGGTATTGCTAGGTATTGCTTGGCAATAACGAGAAATACCGCTCTGTGAAGACCAATACCGAGCAATACCGAGTTTTTCTAGAAAAACTCGGTACAACTCGGTATTCCTCGGTATTTGCTCAGTTTTGCTCGGTATTGGTTATTGCCGAGCAAAATCGATCAATACCTAGCAATATCGAGCAATACTGAGCAATACTTAGCAAAATCGAGAAATATCGAGCCATCCTAGTTCCGTTCCGAGTCGGGTTGTCGGGGCGCGCGGTAAATAATGAGAACGCGTGGCGCGATTCTACTGGCGGCCGAACGTAGAGCTACGTCCTGTGACCGGACCAAATAAAAGTTCTTAATTTCAAGACAAAATTATATTAATATATTCTTATATAAACAATATCAAGACGATCTTGTAAATTATTGGATTTATTTTAATATTAGTAGAATATAAAAATTTCATGTACAAATCTAATAACAAAACCAATCTAACAATTTTCAAGATTATCATAATATAATTTATATTATATGCATTTAATTTTAATTTTGAAAATACCTTTTGTAGTTTTGTGAAGATACTTTGCTACCAAAAATAATCAGAGCCAAAATCAAAATATGTAGATCTACTTTGAAATAATTTCAATATTTATTATTTTTATATATTTTATTTATTTTAAAATAGATCATTAATTTTCAGATCTATCTTAACCAAAGTTTTGGTGAGAAAACTCCCTTTAATTTTAATTTATTTTAGTTTTTAATAGATCAGCCCAACAGTTGTGCAGTGATTCAGAACCCTTACTTTTTTTTTTTTAAACAAA